AGCTAGGACAAGGAGGCACACGCAATTCATGAGACAAGATGCTTTTCTGGAAGCCTTGGGCTTGGCGTGGCGAAGGTCCATTGTGACATGCCAAAGGGTTAGGGGCATGCTTGCTCATGCCTGGCAGCAAGTCAGGGGTGACCAAGTTGCTTGATTGTGCTCAGCAGTCTCCATAGCCTGGGAATCTTGTAGGGCATGCTGGGAGGCATGCAAGGACACGCTCAGCCTTCAGGCCTCAGCCAATGCAGGAAGCCCACATGGCCCCTCAGCCCCTCCCCTGGGTGAACATGTACATTGTTTGCTACCAATCTAAACTAGGCTGTTTACAGAAAACCACATAACTTAGATTGATTCCTCCTTGGGCTTTTTTAAAAGTCTGTATGTGGCCATATAATCAAAATCAAAATTCTACCCAAACACGTTTTTATTCATTGCAAATCCCCAGTTAGTGTCATGTTGATGCAGGTATTTTTCTGCAAAATTAAGTAGCACAGTTCTCAAGACATATGAGCACAGAGTAAATAAAGACATTACTACATTAGAATTTTGCCATATTCATGTGGCCAGCAGACTGGCATTCCCAAAAAAGAAACATTTGGAAGCCAGAACTGTCATAAAATAGGGGACCCTGCACTGAGGCAACAGTAGTCTGCATGGTCATCATAACTGCCACAGCACCTTTGCAAGGAGGGGTATACTCACTCCCCCCACCCCTGCCACACACACACACAGCCCAGGGCATCAAAATGTTAAGTTAGGCCTCTGGATGGACTAAGCTATATAATGAGCATGATTATTCAATACAGGTTCCCTTTTCATAAGCGATGCAACTAATAAACTTTCAAACAATAAGCTAGTAAATGCATAAATTTAGCCAGAAAACTTCAAGAAACTTAACATGAGAAGGTTTCAGCTGAATTATATTATTCTTAAACCTCAGGGAAGTATTTAGCAAGCAGACAGATATGAAGTAATTCTATACGAAACGTTACATACACTATTAAGTGATTACATGGCAGAGCTTCATTAAACATTTCGTATGAGCTCCTATGTTATTTCCAAAGGCAGAATTCATGGCAAAGTTAGAGCAGAATTAGCTAATATGTACAGTTAAAGGGTAATAGTTAGTTCACACTTGCCCTATTCGACACTAAAAGCACCTCCTTTTGGTTAAAGATAAACCTGGGCTTCCAAAGTAGATAAACCTGAACTGCAATACAGCACTCAGATAGGGCTGTCTACATAAGGAGCTGGTGCAGAATAGCTATTTAGGGGGCCATCTCCATATAGATAAGCCCTAAAATGTGGCAGACATTACCCATTGGGTGTGTCTACCAGTTCAATTAGCGCACATAAATAAACTTAAGCTGTGGAGTTTTTTTGCTTCCAGACACACCATTTGAATGTGTGCCCGGGAGCAATTAACTCTGGAGCAATCAGCTCCAGATTTTATTCACATGCAGTATGTGGAGCTCGGTTGGAGCAGCTCCAGCAGGCAGCGGGTTCCAGAGGTCAGCCTGCCAGCGCAGGGCTGATCTGACTCAGCGTACCGTGCTGCTGTGGGGTTAGCTGGGGCACACGGGTGCTTCAGCATTAGGCTAGCTGGCAGGCACCCCCCACTGAAGCAACCTCATGCCCCAGCCAGCTGGGTCAGTATCTACATGTGTGCTGCTGCACACAGAAAAGAACTTATGCAGTTGGGTAGTACTTACATTTAAAAGTACTACCCAGCTGAGGAGTTTAATTATTAGTTTCATGCGCCCTAATAGGAGTGCACATGTGGCTGCTGAGATGTTTACTGCACATTTAAGTAGTCAACTGCACAATACACTTCTCATGTAGACCCACCTGTTGTGTCCTAACTAGCAAATTACTAGTGTTATGACTCTTCCAGACCCTGCTTCCACATTCTCGCTTGCTGGAGCAGCCAAGCCGAATTTCATGCTCCTGGTACCTTATTAAATGGTTCTTATGTTTCTGTGACAATACAGGTTTTGTGCATAATCTGTAAGCACTAGCATCCATCTCTCATACAAAAGGGGTGTTGAAACCCAGATAGTCTGAAGCAGGTGCAGTGAGATGGACCCTTTTAGCTTTGAAATAGCACTCTGACTGCTACAGTGCTTTGTCTGTCACCCAACTTCCATAATATTGGCAAACCCATAATAAAAATGGCATAAGGAAAGGGACTTTTAAAACTCTTTACCTTTGTCAGTGACTGGGGAGTTAGCCAGTTCAGCACAAAGTCAGTGTTCTTTCTTTCAGGGAAAATTCACTCTTTTCTTTTACATATCTGACCATGGAAACATGGCATGATTCTTACTGCTTTAGAGACGGGACAGTTTGTTTGCTATGAACTTATTGCATGCAAACCAAGTATGGACCCCCCATATTAAAAAAAAAAAAAAGAATTTCCAAAGATGAATTTACAAGACAACTTTCCTCCTAGCATTTGTTACAGAATTATTAGCCATAATGAAATCTAAACTGTTCATTTCTCTCCACTATCCAGACTTCCTGCTCAGATTCAAGAGGTGCCATTTTCAAAACGAATTTTCCCCATTTTTGGCCAGGCACACATTCCCCAGTCGCTGACTCATTTTGAGGGCAATTAGACAGCTGCCATTTCATTATGTTATTAAGTCTGCCCTAACCACTGTTATGCTTGAGCCAGTGCCCACTAGGCTTTTGAATTACATGGCTCCTACCATACATTCAGTAGCCAACCCCTCTTATCCTGTTGCTTAACAATAAAACAAATTGTATAGCTTAATCTTTGCTCTTTCTGTTTGGGGACCATTTCCTGTCTTGGGCTGCATTAGAGAATTTTACTAGGCACTTGAGCTGCTCTTTATTTATTTGCCTGAATTTTATAATAATCCTCTTGTGTGTGGACAATTTTCCCACAGTACCAGCTTAATATTTACATTGTTGCCTTGTTTTATAAACCAAATTTAACAATTTTTCCAGTAGTTCAAAAATGTTATGAGAGAGATTTGAATCCACTTCTCCACCATTTGTATTAGGTACAGGTCTGTAATTACATGCAGTCAAGCTTCTGTTATCTTCCCAAGCAGTTTATTTCTTTTCTAGTGTCTGCTGCAAGGAAAAAATCAAATACCGCAGCCTCTCGGAGTAACTTTGGTTCAGATTCACTGATCTTTAACCAGGAGTCCAAGTCGAGTTCAGCATCCGTAAAGTAGTCCTTTGCTAATTTATCCTGGCAGTCCACGATATTCTAGGAAAACAAGTTTCTTTGGGCTTTCTGTCATTTCAGGTAGGGGCTTTTTTTTTCTTCTCACTTTTACTTGTGCTCTTGGCTAGCTCCGTGTCTGGCTTCAAACCACAAAGACCTGTACCAAATTTGAATAATACACTCTCTTTTCCAGCTTAATAAGCACAGAGCTGAATCATTTAAGCAGGCTGTGAGAAATCCCTCTCTGTGTTCATTTCCCAACCATTCATTTTGGCTATGACATTTGGATAAGCCAGATGTGCTTATCTGGGATTTTTTTTCCCTGTGTAATATATTTTTGCAGTATTTGAGCTGGGTCAAGCAGACGTCTCTCTCTCTTCTAAGCCTCTGGTGGCTAGAAATGGGGTAGAAAAATGTAAAATATGTAGTCTTTCTCAAGTTCTTTGGCTGACCCAATTCCCCAGCTATGTAGCCAGCTCTACAGTGGTCTGCAACCCTCTCAATTCCTTTCAAGATAATTGATTAGTTTCTTAAATATAGGTTCTGAATGTTGTGGATAGGTTTACAGATGTGTCTGGACATTTTGTTGGAGCTGCTTCAACAATGGTTTTTATTTCTGACTTCATTCCTCTGCTCTTTCTAGAAAACTTCCAGGTGTGTTTTATTATTATTATTATTCCATATGAGAAGTCTCCACCTCTTGATCTTAAAGCCTCTTGGGCAGCATTTCCATTATGTGCCCCAGCTTGGTTCAAAAGACATAACAAATCACAATATGTCTCCTTAGAAAATGTATTCTGCCATTGTCACTAGTGTTGCCCTTTTGGCGAAAGCACTTATCCAGTATTCAGGGACTTGCAGGGCTATTTTCATGAGGGAAGAAATCAATTATACAAATTAGATATACTTTTTCGTGAAATAATTGTTTATTTTCAAGAGGCTAGAAAAGTCTTTTTCCACAGTAAAAACAAACCACCGCAGGCAGTTTTCTTAATCAGAATCTCCCTAGTCTGCTTCCAGCAAGCCCTGTGCCCAAGAAGCTCAGTTTCTCTCTCTCTTGGGCTCATACTCACAGCTGTTTCTAGAAACTCTCCCTGGCTTTGTGCCCCTACCATGTAACAAGTTGCAAAAACAATATCCAGTCTCTGAGTTTTCAGTCAGGGGAACCCCTCCATCCATATAGCTTAGCTCTGACCTGCCATGCATCAATTATTTATAGGGCTTTATTATAAAGGAAAAAAAGATGTAATTTCTCTTGTAGGAGTGTCTGAAAGAATGCTTCATACCCTTGACTTGAACTTGGTGTGTGATGATTATCTCTGAATCAAAGATTCACCTTATAGCAGCTGGTAGCACCTTTCAGCATAACAAAAGGATAGAAGCTTTTAAGTCATCTGTTTTCAGTTGTTAATGTGATGTTCTTCTCTTTGCATATGGTTGGAGCCTTTCTGCAGACACCTGGGGTACTGGAGATCTTGTAATTTGGTCATGAAATGTTCTGTGCATGCCTTCTCCTATGAGGAGATTCTCACTGGATATTGATACTAGTTGAAGTCCACTCAGTCTCATGATGAGAGCTAATGCATAAAAGATGAGAATTTGTTCTTGGCATTCATAAGTTATAAACTCACAGACTTTTAGGAGGGAAAAAAGAATTTGACTATTCTAATCTATCGTCATTCCTTTCCTGCTGGTATCATGAAGTTCAAGGTGGTGATATTCTAATTTTAGTACATGTTAAATCAGAAGAAATCATTTCATAAATAAGTAGGAGGGGGAGAGGGGTTCTCTTTGTAGAGTCGCATCACTGACTCTCATCTTCCTGGAGACACCTGGCATTGCGCAAGCCCTTTAGTGCTGCCTCTTTCAGTTTAGGATTGCTGAGAATCAGGATAACAGAATGCACCAAGGGATATCCAGCTAGTATCATAATACAGAACCATAAAAGGTAGGGGCTGCTGGCAGCGAACTTCTTTGACAATGTAACTACCTGTGCCACCATATAGAAAATGTACAGGACAATGAAAGAGAGGAGAGCTTTAATTGCTCTGATATGAGCCTCTGCACTGGTGTCCCTGGAAGTGCTCATGTTTTCTCCCATTCTTTTTGTATGTCTCAACAGAGAAGTGACTAGCAACAGAGATGGAACAAAAAATAAAACAAAAGGAGAGTAATGTCCAAACATGGTCAAAATTAAGAAACTAGGAGATGTGTTAGTCTCATATATACATGCCACTGTGATGTTTCTGGACAAATTATTAATTGAATTGTTTAAGTAATCTATATGTATAGCATTGACTGTAGGGAGAGAGGTGGCCAAGGAGACCAGCAAGGAGCCCAGAATAAGCCATGGAAGTAGCCCTGACAATCTCAGCTTCAGCCAAAGGAAAAGGTGTTGGTTGAAGCTGGTGATCTTCACGCAGTAGAAGACAGCGAGCCAAGTGGCAAACCAGAGACTGAGAGTGCTCAGATACATCCAGATAAAATAGAAAGCTCTCCACGTATTGCACTGTTCATTATTCATCTTAGGAATTATAAAGAAAATATTATTAACCAATAGTGTACACAGTAGGAAAAATCTGGAGGTCCCCAGGCTAATCAGGACTAAGGCACACGAATCTAGTTTTTTACTTTTAATCCATGCAATGCAATTCAAACCTACTATCAATCCATTTGCTACAATACCCACAACAAACTCAATTACTAAGCCTAACAAAGTGACAACACTAAGAGGAGTCATGTTTATGCCTGTGGTCTCAGATTCCTACCCAGCCTGTGAAGATCCAAGAGAAATTGCCCAAGAAGAAGATGTCTCTCTGAACTGCCAGGCTTCTGGTATCTGCTTGGCTTATACCATGTTCTTCTGCCTTTGTATTGTAGCTGACAGTGAGCGTGGTGATATTTTCAGCTGTTGAATCTGAAGACCCAAGCACATTTGCAGGATTGCAAATCTCAGAAAGATTCTATTACAGTTATGATGATCTTGTTTATTTCCATACGTTGTATTTCCATATTTTTTCCATGCTACTGTGTAGTTAAGAGTATTACAGAGATCTTCCATTGGATACTGTATTTCCTTATTTTTTAAATGTATTTTAATAATTTTTTTCTTCATTTCCACACTGGATGACTACTGCTTATTGCACCAAGGGAGTCTTGTGTATCATTTATAGGCTGTAGCTCTTGTACAGTATGACAGCAATATTGTTGAGGCCTTTGGCCAGGAAAATAAGGTTTCTTTCCTCCCTCTGACATTTGTATTAGTATGCTTTTTTTTTCAGGCTTCCTAACAAGACCTGTATAACATTTACAGCTTTAAATCATAGAGAAAATTTACTTTATTAGTGTAGGCAGAGATAACAGTGATAACTGTAGTAAACATTGCTTAAGAATAATAGCTACTGGTTGTTTTTCACTATGAGCTGCTGTTTCTCTTTGCCTAGAGCTTTGGAAAAATTGGGGCAAAAATTCCATGTTTGTTGTTTTCCTCATGGTTAAAATAAAGTTTTGATATGAATGGTTCAGCCATTTCTGAGAGGGAAGCTAGTGAAAAATAGATAGTTTTGCCAATGTAATAAACATCTTTCAACCATTTCACAGAGGAAGTCAAATGCCACTATCATGGCAGACAGCTGTAGTTGAGGTACAAGTTCTGTAGGGCTTGGATAATTAGGTTCTGGCAGCTGGCAGAGAAAAATTTTGATCTTGGACATGTTGGCAAGATTTATATAGAAAATAGTGAGAATAGGAAATAGCAAGAACATAATTTTGGCTTGGTTAAATATTATTTGACAGCTGAATATCCCCTTAGAGATGTCAGAAAGATAGGCCAAGATAAGACTTCACAGGAGATGGGAAGTAGCTATTATTCTTTTATCTGCGAGAGAGGATAAACTGCCTTGTTGGAACAAGCAGTACCAGGTTACAAGAAGAAAAAGCTCTAACACTGATGCTCAATGTTTTGTTTTTCCCTCGTGTGTTTTTGAGATACGAAACACAAGCCCTTTGGTGTCTCATGATTACAGTGAAGCTACCACTATGGGACTCCATTTTCTGTTCTGCCTGTTGTCCAAGTACATTTTGGGGCTCAACTAAGAAATGCCTAACTGAGGAAGAGGTGTAGAGGCCTCCAACATGTTGGATCTGAGACCTTTCTAATCTTGATCAGCTTCCTTCCTATCTGCACATTTTAAAAAAGAATGACACTTCCTCCTGTTGTCCTCACCTGATGAGATCTAGCTTTGAAGAATTTGTCTGGCTAGAGAAGACGCATTTATTTTGGTATCACCCATGATATGTTCTACATTACCTCCATCTCATGCTAAGGAGTTTTGCTGTGAAACATGGCATACCACTCTGCATGCCACCCTAAAATAAATCTAATAGCCCTTACCTTAGACTTGTGCTAGGCATGTGCCATGACATTTACTGTCTGTGGAGTGCCTGGTGGTATACTGTGCTTCGCTTTGACATTCCCTAGTAAAGTCTGGGTACAAGGTTAGTGTGTACCCACCTTGGACATACAGCATATACCTGCCAAGAAAAATCAAAGAATGATTCTTCATTGGGTCATGAATGAGGTCAGAGCTGGAGGATTATTTTAATAAATATTTGCATTTCACACCTAATGCTATATCTCAGGTTTCTTTTCAAGCACTAACTTCATAACAACACTACAGAAAATTCAAACCCTTTCTTCTTTATTCAAATGTGTGGCACAGCGAACACTTTCCTTACAATATCCAGCTTTGCCTTTCTTTATGATGGTAATAGAAAAAATTTCCTAATGACAACATTAATAATAATAGAGGTTAAAAATGAAAATTTTTTTACTCATGTATGAAGCTATGACTACTTAAGCAGTTTTTTCCCTGAATTATAAGACAAAAACATAGTCAAAAGAGAGAAGAAAATGAAAAGGAGGAAGGTTTTCAGGTTCTGATATGATGTGGATGAGTACTTGTAAAATTATGTTAGATATAAGCTGGCACTCTGTTAGCTGACCAGAGTCTAGTTTGTTCTCAGGTAGTCAGGTCAGCCTGAAAATGGAGGCAAAGTCAGTTTGTGGAGAAAAGTTATTTTCTGTCTTGTCACTCCAAGATCAGTCAGGCCAACATTAGTGCTGTAGAAGAGAAGATGGGGTGGCTTAAGTACATTGAAAAAACTTGAGAGATACCTCAGTGTGGGGTTTCATTTCGGCTGTGCCTTGCAGTGAAGAAATAAGAAAGGCAAAAGAGAAACAAACAAACAATTCAGCAAAAAGTTCAGTGGGTTCCTCTTCATTCATGGTCATCACCCACCATAGCAATCATGAAACAGTCCAAAATCTTTTCAGGCAAAACTCGGAACTCTCTGACTTATTTGGAAAAGGTTTGTTCTGTAACAGCTGTGTGCTCAGGCTGAGCATCAATCAACAGAAACCTTCACTCCCAAACATATTTCAAACAAGGTCTCCTCATACAGAAGCCGCTCCCAGCCTCTCAGGATGACCTCAGCCAAAGGGAATGAAAGATTTCCCATAATTCAGAGAAGGTGATCTTTTGGCCATTACAGTTTCTCCACTAAAAGGAGACTCTGTCTGCAGGTAGAGTCCACTGTCCTAACAGACACCCAGCTGCAGTCAAAAGGATGCAAATCAGAGCAGGATCTCATGACCGACACCCCATCTCACATATACATGTCTACTTCACTCCAGCTGGATTTCTGTTTACAGTAAGTGACAGCAAACAAATTACTGCTCATTAAGTATGTGCATGGCAGAAGTCCCAGGGTCTATCCTGTGGCTACATGAACCTCAACAGCTGCAAGAATTATGTCTATACAGCCTGGATGATGCACAGGGCCTCTTTGTTGAGCAAAATAGCTTGATAGAACAAGAATATATAATGAAAAGCTTGATCGATATCTCAAAGCAAGATAGCACCAGTGGGGGAATTTGGTTGGACTGGCAGAGGGACACCAGTTCCAAGGTAGGACAGGATGATAAGCAACTGTGCCCCTTCTTGTACCTCAAAGTATATGCTCAGGTACCTCTTGTAGCTGGGGAAAGACTTCTTTGCCTCCTTTTGGCCCAAGAGCTGAGGAAGGTGATTGGTTCTCAACTTGCCTTTTCAAATGCTCATCGGAATGGCTTCCAAATGTTGAGTGCAGTCCCCTGTATTCATATTTGCACAAAAAGGGGAACCTTTCCCCCAAAGATCCCTAAAAGACATCCACTCCAGTCTCTAGCACACCGACCCACATGCCTTGTCCAAAAAATACCTCCTGAAAACAAAATCCAATTCAACCTACATTGTGTCATAGGCAAAAAATAGGGGAAAGAAGGGTACCTCCAACATCTTGTCACCGAAATGGCACAGAAACTCTTAGGTTAATATGCGCTCAGAAAGTCTTTCTAGGCAGCCTGGAGCCATCTTGCCATTATTGCTTCAGAAAAAAATTCTGCTTAGGGCACTGTAACCATGCCTGGGAAAGGCCATGGATGACTCCTCATGGCTGGAGCAGCTCAGGCCAAGTCTGACTACCAAAAGCCCCTGGAGAAGGAAAAGCAACCAGTACTGAACAGAGACTAACTGCACACTGTGGATAACAGCACCAGCTGGAGCAGAGCCAAGGGTCACTTCAAAAGCCACCTCCAAGCCATAGTGTGTCCCACTCAAGACTTCCTGATCATAAGCAACTGGTAGGGGGCACAAAGGGGTGCCTCCCCAATGGGGCCGGTGCCCCCTGATGGCCGACACTGATGCTGTCAGTAGGGCTGATGCCCCCCCTGACAAAGCCACCGCTGCCAGTGGCTTCTGCAGGTGCCCCCCCAGATTCAGGAGGCACAAGTCACTTATGTTCCTGATAGCACTGAGTCACAGCATGTATGGTAAGCCAGGACTCCTTCTTGGAGAATGACTGCAGACTGGTGGCCTTCCCACCCAGCATGAAATGGTATCTCAGCTGTCAGAAAAGCCTGAATTCTCCCCAGTGTAAGGAGTAGAGGAGAAAGCAGAAAAATGGAGTGGAGATGACCATGCACAAAAACAGAGAAACCAAAAGCAGAATGGGATTTGGAATCCCTTGGGGACCTCTTCCCCACTAGAGAATGATCAGCTTCTTAGGGCTTGATTTTCTCAATGCTTGGAGAAGCTAATGAGCTCTACACTGAGGAAGAATGGTGGAAAGGAAGAGAGGGCACTCCCAAGATACATGGCTGAAGGCAAATCCTGAGTTCCTCCTTTAGGGCCATGGGGACTCAAAACAGAGAGGCAGGATGGGGGAAGGTGACAGTCAAAAAGTGTTTAGGTCAGAGCCTCCTTCCATAATATTTGGGCACCCAAGCCAGGAGCCCTAGGCAGCAGATGTGGGCTTTCCCAGCATCCCTTTGCAAGAAAGGGCTCAGCAACAGGCTGATAGGCATGAAGGTGGATACAGTTGCAGAGGTGACTCTCCATATCTGGGACCAGGACAGAAGATCTGAAAGAAATTGGCTGCATTGCTTGAATATTGACACTGACAGGTGGGAGTGCCCACCTAATGGCTTTTTTTTATCCTCACTAGCTGTTGGGGTGAGGACACAGTATAAACACAGGAACTTGAAAGAGAGTCTCCCAACCTGCCCCTGAATTGGGAAAAGAGGGGAATAAATGCATTTTTTAAACAAAAACAGAGTCATTTTCAAGTTATTTCTGCCCAGAAACCATGA